GCTTGTTTTGCTGCTTGGCTTGACCTTTTGCACTGGTGGCTTGTTTTGAACACTGGTGGCTTGTTTGACTTTTACACTGGTGGCTTGTTTGACCTTTACACTGGTGGCTTGTTTGACCTTTTACACCTTTTGACCTTTTTACACTGGTGGCTTGTTTGACCTTTACACTGGCTTGTTTGACCTTTTACACTGGTGCTTGTTTGACCTTTTACACTTTTACACTGGTGGTTTGTTTGACCTGGTGGCTTGTTGACCTTTTACATGGTGGCTTGTTTGACCTTTTACACTGGTGGCTTGTTTGACCTTTTACACTGGTGCTTGTTTGACCTTTTGCACTGGTGGCTTGTTGACCTTTTGCAGGTGGCTGTTTGCCTTTTACGCTGGTGGCTTGTTTGACCTTTTACACTGGTGGCTTGTTTGACCTTTTGCACTGGTGGCTTGTTTGACCTTTTACACTGGTGGCTTGTTTGACCTTTTACACTGGTGGCTTGTTTGACCTTTTACCTTGTTTGACCTTTTACTGGTGGCTTGTTTGACCTTTTACACTGGTGGCTTGTTTGACCTTTTACACTGGTGGCTTGTTTGACCTTTTTACTGGTGGCTTGTTTGACTTTCACACTGGTGGCTTGTTTGACCTTTTACACTGGTGGCTGTTTGACCTTTTTACACTGGTGGCTTGTTTGACCTTACACTGGTGGCTTGTTTTGACCTTTTACACTGGTGGCTTGTTTGACTTTTACACTGGTGGCTTGTTTGACCTTTACACTGGTGGCTTGTTTGATTTTTACACTGGTGGCTTGTTTGACCTTTTACACTGGTGCTTGTTTGACCTTTTACACTGGTGGTTGTTGCTTTTTACATGTTTGACTTTTACACTGGTGGCTTGTTTGACCTTTTACACTGGTGGCTTCCCGCGGTTGGTGATGTTTTTGATGTTTTTACCATAATGCACTTTATTCATATTTGAGTTTGAAGTAAGTTCGGGTATACATAGAATAGAGAGAATGATAAAAATATACGAATATGGGCACACGAAAGAAATGAATAACAG